TTTCTTGTGAGTCCATCTGGCGATGTACGATTTCTCGTCGTGGAGTGTTGGACGCGCAACACCCCACGTTCGCACGAACGGGAAGTTGACGCGTCGAGCCGAGATCGGCAAGCCATAGCTCCCACGCTACATCGTCGCCGTCATCATCAACCTTATAGCCGAATTAGAGATAGGTTTGCCGAAGCAATGAACAAGATGGCTGATCCCTGGTCTCCTTCAATATCCGACGATTTTGTCCTCCTTTCTAGAGACCCATATACACTCGCATCGCATCACGTCCCGTCGCATCGTGCTGCCCTACCACACCGACCAAAATGACGGACACGAAGACTCCCCACGATCTGAACTGCCTTACCATCGGCGAACTCGAGAAGCTTGCTGCAGAGCGCATGGACAAGCAGACACGCGACTACTACAATGAGGGTGCAGACTCTGGATCGACGCTGCGCGAGAACATTAACGCATACCAGAAGTATCGCATTCGGCCACGCGTGCTTCGCGACATCTCCTCTGTCGACACGACCGTAAACGTTTTCGGACACCAGAACAGCATACCCCTCGGTGTCGCGCCAACGGCTATGCAATGTCTCGCACACGACGACGGTGAACTGGCGACCGCACGCGCATGCGCCAACAAGGATATCGTAATGGGCCTGAGCAGCTTCAGCACAACCAGCCTCGAAGACGTGAAAGGCGCATTAGGCAACCATCCCGGAGCTCTACAACTTTACCTCTTCGAAGAGCGCACCCAAAGCCAGAAGCTCATCCAACGCGCCAAAAAAGCCGGCTACAAAGCTGTCATGCTCACGGTTGACACCCCAGTCCTCGGACGCCGGAACTTGGAGATAAGGAACCAGTTCAAGCTGCCGAAACACCTCAAAGTAGCAAACTTCAACCGCGACGAGAAACACGACGAGGGTGTGAAGGTCGAAGAGAAAATCACACCACCATCCACGGAAGCGAACGAGTCGCGCAAACGAAGCGAGGCACCCAGTGCCAGCGATGGCAACAAGAGACAGCCACCACAAGGACCGATAAGCTTCCACACGCACGCGCCTAACCCGACCTTATGCTGGGAACGCGACATAGCCTGGCTGAAAGAACAATGTTACCCTGAGATGGAAGTCTGGGTAAAAGGCGTTGCGACGGGCGAAGACGCACTACTAGCCTGCCACCACGGCGTCGACGGCATCGTGGTGTCAAATCATGGTGGGCGACAGCTCAACGGCGCATTGGCTACCATCGATGCGCTGCCCGAAGTGGTTGCTGCTGTGCATTCACAAACCGGAAAGAAGATTCCTGTGCATGTAGACGGAGGCATTAGACATGGGACGGATGTATTCAAAGCACTCGCGCTTGGTGCGGACTTCGTCTGGGTTGGCAGACCAATACTTTGGGGATTGGCATACAAGGGACAAGAAGGTGTTGAATTGGCGCTGAGGTTGCTGAGCGATGAGTTCAAGTTGTGCATGGGACTTGCGGGTGTGACAAAGGTTGAGGACATTGGACCAGAGTACTTGGTCAAGATGGATCGAAGTGGATTCGTGAGTCGTCTTTAGAGACTGTGAGCATACATTACCGGGTAGCTTTGGATCTAGGCACTATTGATACGACTTTGGTATATACAAACGGGCTCGGATATGTTACGACACCTACGCCGCCTGTCTCCTACTCTCGATAAAGTCCACGTAGTCGAAGAAACTCTTCTTGTACCTTCGCACTTGTGTCGTGCGGTTCACAGTCTGGATACCAAACTGTTGGTCGTAGTCACCAAACTCCCAGTTGTCGGCCCACGACCAAGCAAACGCGCCGATGAAGTTGACGCCATCTTCCCAGATCGCCTTCAGGCCTTCGTTCAGATATGTCTGGTAGTACCAGCTTCTTGGGCTGTCGAACTCCTGGTCTGCTTGCTCTTTTTGCGCCTCGGCGAAGACAGGAAAGCCGAATTCAGTGACGGCCACTGGAGAACGCCATGTGTTCCAAAGATAGTTTAGGTATGTGCGGAAATAGCTGGGTGTCAGATAGACATATGATTGACTGCGGTATCCGATGTCCCAGCCAGTGGTGGTGAGGGTGCTCTGAGTTACACAGTAAGGTCGGAGGGGATGAGTGATGTTGGCAGCGCAGTCAGCGATGGTGTCATTTGGTGGTGGACTGACTACTGTGGCAGTGTACGGTTGGATCGAGAAGAAGTCCGCAGTACCGTTGACGTATTGTAGATCTTCTTGGCTCAATGGTACGTAGTCGTCAACACTACTCTTGAATGATTCCGGGTAGTCTGTTCCGAGGAAGATAGGGTTGGCAAAGGTAGCTAGCTGGAAGGAGTTGAAGTGGTTGGCAGCGTCGACGTCAGCGGGGTCATCCGGGTTGCGTGGGACGCCAAAGTTGTCGTTGAATGTGAGCGACATCTTTCCAGTTCCGCCAATGTCATCGTGGTAGAAGTGGTAGAGTCTCGCATGAGCTTTGATGACAGCATCAATAGACTTTCCGTTCCGCGCACCCAGGAGAGGCTCATTGAAGGTCCACCAGATTGGAACACGGTCAGCAAAATGTGTCATGACAATCTTCCCGTATTCGACGAAAGCATCCTCCCACGACACATTCTTGTAGCTGCATTGGAAACAAGAGTCCAGGTAGCCAATACCTCCAGTTCCGGGCTTGATAAAGACATCGCTGATGTTGTTGAAATACTGGAAAGGAGAGTCGTTGTGGTAAAGCATAACAGCGGGATGCATGCCTTTTTCCAGGACGAAGTTGATAAGATCGTCGTAGTGCGAGAGACCTTGCTTGTTAACTGGTGTGCCTGGTAAGATGAACGGCAGAATTCGAGTCCAAGGAATGGAGAATCTGTAATACTTGATGCCCATGGCAGCAATTCGTTCGATGTCTTGCTTGTACAAGTAGTAGTGTTCGTTCGCGATCCAGTTCGGCGCTTGGCCCGGGTTGTTCAAGGCAGCAACGTCGTTGTGAACGGGTGTCCGTCCCTCATCTGCGACGGCTCCCTCGATTTGGACAGCTGATGCCGCCACGCCAAGCATGAAGTCTGCAGGGAAGGAGTAGCATTGCTGGGGTACCAGTGGCTCAGGTGGTGGCAGAATGAGCTCGCTGGTCGGTACTGGCGTCGGTTCAACTGTTGTAGAGTACATCCCGGTCGTGAAGTTGACCCATGGCACGGTCGTCCAGAGAGCTGTCCAGGATGCGTTTCCGTATGGATTCCCCAAGTCGGTCGGTGATGCGGTGACATTTGAGTTCCAGTTGCCCCATTGTGTTGTCGTCAGATTTGGCACCAAGCTACTGAGCGACGCGTACGGTGGTGCATAGGTAGTAGTGGTAGTGGGAGCTGGGGCAGATGTTGCTGTACGAACAGTCTCGGTCTGTGTGAAGCTGAACTCTCTGAAGGTATACGAGGGCAGTGCAGTCGCATATGTTTGATTTGCCGAGCATTGCGGTCGCGAGACAGGCCCTTCAGCAGGGACGTAGACTTGCTGGGCGAGAGCCACAGCGCCATACGCAAGAAGTGCTTGAGGCTTCATGATGATGGCCAAGGAACGCTTGATACATCTTGGTATTCTCTGCGGAGCTCTTTATACCTCTGTGGCTCTTCAATCGGACCGTGGGGCTGATTCTGACGGTGGTACTCATCGTCATCGGCATGTACAATCGCTTGTCGCTTCGCAAAACCTCGCAGCCCTAGTCCCGTCGTGAATTAATACGAAGGGCGTGGTGCGGCCTTGATCCCTTTCCGGGGTTTGGCGGATTGAATTCCTCGGTCGAGTTCGGTCGGGCCCAATTTCGGCAGTGCCTGGGTGCTTTGCGGGGGGCTTGCGGGGTCGAGCTTGTTGTGATGACGAGCGGGATGCAACGTCTAAGCTCCAACGTTGCTTTTCATGAATTGACCAGGCTCATGGTCCTAGCAAGTCTCGGGGTTTCTTAGTGGTCGTTCACGTCGTTGCTTCGCTATCCTTACTCAAACAAGGTTAGCATGTCCTCCGCCGCGCAGACTTCCAGGGTTCAAAGGTTTCCTGTTTGTGCCCGCAACAACGCGTGTTCAACCCTCTCGGTCTATCATTGCGCGACACCGCCAACCGACAACCGAAACTTCGCGCATGCCTGATTGTATGAATCGAGTGCCCATAGCAATGTTTACTCAGTCTCCACCACAATGGTGGATGCCAAGACAAGGGACGGTCTGAGCCAGGTGTATCGATCAGACTAGCTATCACATTCGCTCATGCAGTATCCTGCTCCTTCGATATGCAATTACCAGGCAGCTTGACTTCTAGCTGCTCAATCTGCGCAACATCTCGATATTAAGATGGGCTCATGTCAAGGACGTGTCTCGTGTTCGACTTCATTCGACAACCCACCCTCAGAACCGAGTTCTTGAGAGATCAAGAAGAGGGCCTAAAGTTGTGAGCTATATGTGGACATGGAAACCTGTAGCAGGTCTCTGTACAATGCATCAACTTTCTGCGACTTGACCTGTAATGGACAATCTTGGCTTGTCTGAACGCCTGGTTCCTGACAAGAGAATGCAGCTCGCGCTTTCAGGGTGCCATGCTGGTCCGTTGACTGAAGAAATTATTGCTAGCTGGCAGATTGCAGTATTTGTTGTTTCGGTCAGGCTTCTGTTGACACCAGACAAAGCAGAGTCTGAGTGTTTGCAGCTCCTTTCGCTTCAAAGCATGGCTGATTTCGTGGTTTTTGAACAGATTATGCTCGCTGCCGCGACAAGTCCACAAACGGACAGGCACGCGCAGATACCATGAGTTGCATAGGCGTGAACACAGGATAGCGTAAGTGTAAAGTTGGAGGTTTGAGCAGTCTTGGTGTTGGTGTTGGTCTCGAGAAGCAGAAGATGACGCTAGCGGGGTCCGTGCGCCCACACGAATTTCGTCGTTGCCAACCCACTTGCCGAACTTCACGACGCTCACGACAACTCCAGCGACGACGCACCCGAAACCCGCCCAAATCGAATATCCCCCCGATAATCTACCAAAATGTCTGGAAAGCGCGGGTACGTAGTCCTCAGCGACAAATTGGGCAGTTTGAGGCTGTCGTGCAGAGGAATGCTGGCTAACGAGTGTGCAGTCGAGGTTCTACCTCCGGTAACAAGCTCAAGATGACTCTTGGTCTGCCAGTGTACGTTTGACCCCGATGCGATCGCTCCACCGAAAACCTTTCCGTTCGCGAACACGCATACAAGGCACACAGGGAATGCAGGCTAATAGATGCACAGCGGCGCCGTCATGAACTGCTGCGACAACTCCGGTGCCCGCAACCTGTACATCATCTCCGTCAAGGGTATCGGTGCGCGTCTCAACCGCCTGCCCGCTGGTGGTGCCGGTGACATGGTCATGGCGACCGTCAAGAAGGGAAAGCCCGAGCTGAGGAAGAAGGTCATGCCCGCCGTCATTGTCCGCCAGAGCAAGCCATGGAGGCGAGCAGACGGTATTTACCTGTACTTCGAGGACAACGCCGGTGTCATTGTCAACCCCAAGGGTGAAATGAAGGGCTCCGCCATCACTGGACCCGTCGCAAAGGAGGCCGCTGAGCTGTGGCCGGTACGTGTGCACCCGCCACCAAAAGAATCAACACTGACAACATCTAGCGTATCGCCTCCAACTCCGGTGTCGTCATGTGAGGTGTCTCTTTTCCTGCTTTCGATCACATTCATGGGTTTACGGGCACGGCGAAAATGCATTTACGGGGTGAAGGATTTGGGAGACGACATTGCAACCACGATTAGCAATGGGACGACCTTCACAATACCAGTCAAATGAACATTACGACCAAAACCACACTTTGTGTTCCTCATTGCAGTGACGGATGAATGATATGCTGGCAGTGCGCCAACAGGACCAGCAGCACAAGGAGCGCGTTGAGGAAACATTCTTGCGATGGTCGGACTCTATTGATTGATCTGACATGAAGGCAGGAATTGTGTACTAAACCCACGCACACTAGACCCTAGGCTCGTCGGCTGAGCACGAACTCCTATCGCACGCAAGCATCTGAAAGTCTGCCTCCTCGACAACATCCTGCGCCCATCGCATCTGTATCATACTTCTCGCCTCAACCTCACGCTTCCTCTGTCCACCCACGAACTTCAAGTTCTCGTTTCCAACAACACCCGTCGTGACAACACCAGTACTCGGCGCACCGATTCCTTGTACCTGGCCATTACCGCCCTGCATGACGTTCGCATAGCTCGACGACATGGTCTGTACTCCAGAAACGAAGTCCTGGCCGTCAAACTCGCAATGTCCTCCTGCGGGCGTGTTGTCCACTGTCTGCAATGTGTTGACTTGATCCGCGCTCAGACCTGCATCTGCACCGAGCTGCTCATAGGCTGTAACAGCCTGTGGAATACTACCTTGAAGCAACTGGAGCTCACTCTGTGTAGATTGGAAGTGGATCCTTGTCTGAGACATGACCGTGGCAGCGTTCTGGAAAGCGACTTGTGGCGGCATGCCACCGCAGTTAAGCTCAACAGCCGAGTTGGCGTAGTTTTGCATCTGTGCTGGGATGAAGAAGCCGGACATCATCAGCGAGCCGCCCGAGACACCTGTGAAGACGATGTTGGACATGTTAACTGCAACCCGCTGCGGCAGTTCCGTTTGGATGAAGTCGTTGACGGCCTGAGCGTGTGCTACGCCATCTGTACGTTGAAGACCCGAGCCTCCTCCCCAGAACAGATTCTTGTCGGGTGCCAGTAGCGCAACACCCATGGTGTTGGCCTGGACAGCTTGGTTCGGCATGTCGAAGAAGCTCTGTCCACCGTCGCCGTGGAGCAACACGTTCGCGCCCAGGGTGCCGTTCGCCGATGTAGCTGCCGCACCGGGGACGCCCGAAGCTGGAAGGAATTGATCTGCCGGTGCGGAGATCTTGAATCGAATAGGCAGGTTGTTGACCATGACCGTGTCATCCAGTATCATGGAGCCATCGGTGGCGGTAGAGATTCCCTGGGGCACCTGAGCCGCTTTTTGAAAGGCTGTCGCTTGTTGTGCGTTGCCGTTACCGCCGCGGTTGCGTTGTGGCAGCGCCGAAGTGAGGGAAAGCAGCGAGAGAGTGATGAGTCCGTACATGATTGCGATAACTAAAAGCTCAATAGATGAAAATAGAAATTAGAGTATTGAAATGATGGACCGGCCAGAAAGAAGAATCGAAAGAAGGGTGACAGACAAGAGATACCGCACGGCAGTATAGCGGGAAGAGAAGAAAGGAAAGAAGTGTGGGGGATCCCTATACATCTATACTGCATGAACGGCATGCTACAGATCACGAAAAGGCCTCGAGCCTGCGAAACACAGTTTCTTTCACTCCTAAACGCGTACGAGTATAGCCAAGCCTACGGGCCAGAGCTTCGCCTTGCCTCTCTTGAGCTTAACATGACTGAGTTCCACCACTGAGCGGTGCGGTCTGGACAAGGCTTATGGAAGCTGTGTTTGATGCGCGAATGTGCAGCAGCTGTGGTTTGAGCTTGGAGGCCTTGGTGTTTCGGGCCGGGGCTTGGCGTGCGATTGCGGGTAACCGAGAGTTTACAGAGCTATCTGGAGTGCGTCAGGCATACGAGTGTTGTGCTATTCATAATTCCATCTAGCTCGCATGCGCATCGTGGGAGGTGTCGCGATGTTGATCTGCGCGGGCAGAGGAGGGAGTATCTCGGTGTGGAGGGTCTGTGCGTTGGACTGAGGCCGCCATCATCATCTGCATGCATGATTCTCCCGTCATTCACACCTTCACGTACTTGAGATGCTTCCTTCTGATCGCTTCTCACGATCCCAATTTCTATCTCTAGCAAGACAATAAATATACAGACATTTCGTCTCTGCAGTAATTATGATGATTAAAATTGTAAGAAGCCTGGGTACAAACAAACAGCAGGACTTCATGTTCCTCAGAGTCGACGCGCTGTTATGTGAGCAAAAAGAGTCAACGTAACAACTTCATCGAATGCTAAGGGAGGCAAAAAAAAAGATGAATGAATGCCACCTGGCCGAATCGCTACACTATTGTTAGTAATGGAATTTGAACCAAGTGCGATTCAAACTTACAACGACCGATCTTCGCATATCTAGTAGTAACTACAAGTGCGACGCTTTACCACTTAGCCAAGGAGGCAATTGTTGATGACTAATAAAAATTTAATGGTACATATCGACACGTCGAATGTGGGCATGAGTACGGTGACGCGGTAAGCGAGGGTGTGGGGCGGCAGCGGCGACGATATCTACGAGTGAAATTGGGGACTATCCGACTGATACGATCAGGATCACCGAGAGAGACAAATGCAAGTTATGTGTGACTTTGATATTGATATCTGATGGATAATCTCTTAAACAAAACCGCTATGCAAAATACCTAAAATGTCAAATGCTAAGGAAAAGGGTAGCTGTAATGCGAGAAGTAGCTTCCCAATCGTCCCTTCCAAACGCCACGCTTATGCTCATGCAAATGCCTCGCTTCATAAATCATCAACCTCGGAAACAACAAGCCCAATCTAAGCCAGGCCGAAAACACCCCTCAACCGCCTCCAAAGCTCCTTGCCCATGGCCTTTCGGGTATCCTCAGTACGGAGCGCAGCCTCCTTGTTCTCACTCGCCCTCCTGAGCAGGAAGTTGAGACACTCGGTTGTGGTACCCCAAGTCATGCACTTGACGACCTTGGCCTGAGTGTCCGCCTTCATGGTCTCGTCTTGGACTAGAGCCTGGGAGATCTCGTCGGCCATACCCTGGAGTTGGGCGTAGGTAAGACGAGGTAGGTTCTCGGGGGAAGTGGAGAGCATTTGTTGGGCGCGGATATTCTGGGCGGCTTGGACGGAGGCGAGGTTGTGGGTTGCGAGGACGATGTTGACCTTCGGGAAGGGAGTGCCTGGTGTGGGGGCGGGGACCTTGTCAGTCCATTGTTGGCGGACTACGGCATCAGCGAGGGCATCGTAGTTGGCGTCGGTGCCGGCTTTGGTGTCAAAGGTGAGATGCTTGGGCTCGGATGTGAGGTAGGCGCCGCGTACAAGCTTGACACCAGCGATGTAGCCCTTCTTTGAGGCGCGCTCAAGGTGCTCGGCCAGGCGCTTCGAGATGTCGCGCAGGTAGCACTGGTATGTGATGTAGAGAACCGCGCGACCGTTCTCGGGCTTGTTGTACTTCTCCTGCAGGGCTACTGTCCACTTCTCGAGTCCACGGTTGGTTGCCTCTTCTTCGGCACCAGGGAGAAGGCTGACACCCTTTGCGGCGGCGGCATCGCAAGCGGCCGTGATGGCATCCCACATCTCAGGGGTGGCATCTTGCTGGTTCTGGAGGAGGTTGAGGGCATGGCGACCGAGACCGGACCATCTACATGGTGGTTAGTAGGTGCTTGTGTCTAAGCCATCGAGGCAAGACTTACTTCAGTCCAACAAAGTCACCCTCCTTCGCCATATCAACGCTCTGCAGCATTCCCTTCCTCCACACCTCGATCTCCATCTTGGTCTCTTCGGCAGTCGGCGCCTTTCCGCCTAGAACCTCAAGCGCGTACTCAAATAGGATGCCGCCGTATCCAAGCGTGCGTGCGAATTCAGTGTTCCTGACAACCTCATCCTTCTTCTCGCCAACGCAGTACTGCGCGTAGAAAGTCTTCTTGAGCAAGTTGGACAGCACCGGGTTTCGCTCGATGCTCAGGAGGAAAGACTTCGAGTCTAGCATGCGCCGTAAGATGCCGAAGCAAGCATTGAGCAGCAGTGGCCGTGAGGATACGGCGGTGATGAGGTAGGATCGGAGGACGGTCTCTGTAGGTAGGCGTCCGAGGACTGCTTTTGTCTGCGCTATCTGCGACTCTGGCTGCGTCGACAGGAGATGTGAGGTCGAGACTTGTGATGAGGCGGGGATAGAGACATTCTGTCGTGCGCTCTGGGAGACGTAGCGCGGTGTCTGCGCAAGGGTTCGGGATGTGTGTGCGAGCGCGAAGCTCTGGAAGCGGTGGAGGTTTTGTCTCCGGATCATCATCTTGGAATGTGGGTGTAGTCTAGCGCTCAAGTGGTTGTGTGAAAGGTGGTGTAGTTTGCACTTGGAGCTGGTGAATCGGCACGGGTTATAGATTTTCGGTGTGTGCAAACTTGAGAGGGCGAGCAATTCTGCAGGTCTTGTGACTTGCTTTTCATTGTGGTGAAGGCCATATATACCATGGTTGGTACTCTTGGTGCTCCACGATATCGCACGCGATGCTCGGCTTGCGTCGGATGCGGTCATGTCGCACTAGTGCAGCTTCATTGTTGCTCCAGATGGTGCCAGACTGACGCAGACGCCGGCTTATCGCCCGCGCTAGACGGGCCGATGATTGGACAATGCCGCAACGCGTTCCTGTGGAGTAAACGACATGTCTGGCATTCATGGCGACGTGATGGTGTTGAGGTTTGTTGCTGGATGTGATGTAATGACCGTTGTAGAGTTTGTGGGAAACTCATCGTGCCTGCTTCCCGTGTAGGCCGGTGACGTAGCATCATCAATTTCCAGTCTGCGATCCCTTGCTTTTGCCATGGCTTTGACCTCCAAGCTGCCATCGTGACCTTCGCAATGCCTGTTACCCCACAGTCGGCGAAATGCACAACCAGCCGCTCCTCACATTAGCGTCATCTTGCCAGCACAGCTCCGTTCGCGATCTGTGTTG